TTACTCTTTTATTCTTGTTAATTACCGTATCTCGGTGCTACATTATTATTCCGCTTTATTACCGTGAATATTATTTTGGTAAGGGGTTTATTCCCAACAACTGGTATCAGAGCACAGGTTCTGCTCGTTCACTGAAATACTATTCACTGTCGGTAGTACTATACTTGGTGAAAAATAAAAATGTCCGGAGTAAAGTACGAGGTAGCAAAATTCAACGGAGATAACGGTTTCTCAACATGGCAAAGAAGGATGAGGGATCTGCTCATTCAACAAGGATTACACAAGGTACTAGATGTTGATTCCAAAAAGCCCGATACCATGAAAGCTAAGGATTGGGCTGACTTGGATGAAGGAACTGCTAGTGCAATCAGGTTGCACTTATCAGATGATGTGGTAAATAACATCATTGATGAAGACACTGCACGTGGAATTTGGAAAAGGTTGGAAAGCCTATACATGTCCAAAACATTGACAAATAAATTGTACCTGAAGAAGCAGTTATACACCCTATACATGGGTGAAGGTACGAATTTTTTGTCACATTTAAATGTGTTTAACGGACTAATCACACAGCTTGCCAACCTCGGAGTGAAAATCGAGGAAGAAGATAAAGCCATCTTGCTATTGAACTCGTTGCCATCTTCGTACGATAATTTGGCAACAACCATCCTGCACGGTAAGACTACTATTGAGTTGAAAGATGTCACATCGGCTCTTCTACTCAATGAGAAGATGAGAAAGAAGCCTGAAAATCAAGGACAGGCTCTCATCACAGAAGGTAGAGGCAGGAGTTATCAAAGGAGTTCGAACAACTATGGTAGATCCGGAGCTCGTGGGAAGTCAAAGAACCGATCCAAATCAAGAGTCAGAAATTGCTACAACTGTAATCAACCAGGTCACTTCAAAAGAGATTGCCCAAATCCAAGGAAGGGCAAAGGTGAAACCAGTGGCCAGAAGAATGACGACAACACAGCCGCCATGGTGCAAAATAATGATAATGTTGTCCTCTTTATAAATGAGGAAGAGGAATGCATGCACCTGTCAGGTCCAGAGTCGGAATGGGTGGTTGACACAGCGGCATCTCACCATGCCACACCGGTAAGAGATCTTTTTTGCAGATATGTAGCAGGTGATTTCGGCATAGTGAGAATGGGTAACATAAGTTACTCAAAGATTGCGGGGATTGGTGACATTTGTATCAAGACAAATGTCGGATGCACATTGGTTCTAAAGGATGTGCGGCATGTACCTGATTTGCAGATGAACTTGATCTCGGGAATTGCTTTAGACCAAGATGGATACGAGAAATATTTTGCAAATCAAAAATGGAGACTCACTAAGGGATCATTGGTGATTGCAAAGGGAATTGCTCGTGGCACGTTGTACAGGACAAATGCAGAAATATGCCAAGGTGAATTGAACGCGGCACAAGATGAGATTTCTGTAGATTTGTGGCACAAAAGAATGGGTCATATGAGCGAGAAGGGATTGCAGATTCTTGCCAAGAAATCACTCATTTCTTATGCCAAAGGTACAACGGTAAAACCTTGTGACTACTGTTTATTTGGTAAGCAGCATAGAGTCTCATTTCAGACATCGTCTGAAAGAAAATTGAATATACTTGATTTAGTATATTCTGATGTTTGCGGCCCAATGGAAATTGAATCAATGGGCGGTAACAAATATTTTGTTACTTTTATTGATGATGCTTCACGAAAATTATGGGTTTATATTTTGAAAACCAAAGATCAGGTGTTTCAAGTTTTCCAGAAGTTTCATGCTCTAGTAGAAAGGGAGACGGGTCGAAAGCTAAAGCGTCTCCGAAGTGACAATGGAGGTGAGTACACTTCAAGGGAATTTGAAGAGTATTGTTCAAGTCATGGGATCAGACATGAAAAGACAGTTCCTGGAACCCCACAGCACAATGGCGTAGCCGAGAGGATGAACCGCACCATTGTGGAGAAGGTGAGAAGCATGCTCAGAATGGCTAAACTGCCTAAGTCATTCTGGGGGTGAAGCAGTTCAGACAGCCTATTACCTGATCAATAGGAGTCCATCAGTTTCGTTGGCGTTTGACATCCCAAAAAGAGTTTGGACCAACAAGGAGGTGTCCTACTCACATCTGAAGGTGTTCGGTTGCAGAGTTTTTGCACATGTACCAAAAGAGCAGAGAACAAAGCTGGATGATAAATCTGTTCCCTGCATATTTATCGGATATGGAGATGAAGAGTTCGGTATAGATTGTGGGATCCTGTAAAGAAGAAAGTCATCAGAAACAGAGATGTAGTCTTCCGAGAAAGTGAAGTTGGAACTGCAACTGATATGTCAAAAAAGGCGAAGAATGGTATAATTCCTAACCTTGTTACTATTCCTTCTACTTCTAACAATCCCACAAGTGCAGAAAGTACGACCGACGAGGTTGCCGAGCAGGGGGAGCAACCTGGTGAGGTTATTGAGCAGGGGGAGCAACTTGATGAAGGTGTCGAGGAAGTGGAGCACCCCACTCAGGGAGAAGAACAACCTCAACCTCTGAGGAGATCAGAGAGGCCAAGGGTAGAGTCATGCAGGTACCCTTCCACAGAGTATGTCCTCATCAGTGATGAGGGGGAGCCAGAAAGTCTTAAGGAGGTGTTGTCCCATCCAGAAAAGAAACAGTGGATGAAAGCCATGCAAGAAGAGATGGAATCTCTACAGAAAAATGGCACGTACAAGCTGGTTGAACATCCAAAGGGTAAAANTTCCAAAGGGTAAAAGACCACTCAAATGCAAATGGGTCTTTAAACTCAAGAAAGATGGAAATGGCAAGCTGGTCAGATACAAAGCTCGTTTGGTGGTTAAAGGCTTCGAACAGAAGAAAGGTATTGATTTTGATGAAATTTTTTCACCTGTTGTCAAAATGACTTCTATTCGAACAATTTTGAGCTTAGCAGCTAGCCTAGATCTTGAAGTGGAGCAGTTGGATGTGAAAACTGCATTTCTTCATGGAGATTTGGAAGAGGAGATTTATATGGAGCAGCCAGAAGGATTTGAAGTAGCTGGAAAGAAACACATGGTGTGCAAATTGAATAAGAGTCTTTATGGATTGAAGCAGGCACCAAGGCAGTGGTACATGAGGTTTGACTCATTCATGAAAAATCAAATATACCTAAAGACCTATTCTGATCCATATGTATACTTCAAAAGATTTTCTGAGAATAACTTTATTATATTGTTGTTGTATGTGGATGACATGTTAATTGTAGGAAAAGACAAGGGGCTGATCGCAAAGTTGAAGAGAGATTTGTCCAAGTCATTTGATATGAAAGATTTGGGCCCAGCACAACAAATTTTAGGGATGAAGATAGAGAGAGAACAAGTAGAAAGTTGTGGCTATCTCAGGAGAAGTACATTGAACGTGTACTAGAACGCTTCAACATGAAGAATGCTAAGCCAGTCAGCACACCTCTTGCTGGTCATCTAAAGTTGAGTAAGAAGATGTGTCCTACAACAGTGNAGAGGAGAAAGGGAACATGGCTAGAGTTCCTTATTCTTCAGCAGTCGGAAGCTTGATGTATGCAATGGTATTTACTAGACCTGATACTGCTCACGCTGTTGGTGGTGTCAGTAGGTTTCTTGAAAATCCTGGAAAGGAACATTGGGAAGCAGTCAAGTGGATACTCAGGNGGGTCAAAAAGATTCACATGAGTGAAAATCCTGCGGATATGCTAACCAAGGTAGTACCAAGAGATAAGTTCGAACTTTGCAAAGAACTTGTCGGCATGCGCTCAAACTAGAATCTTCGGTGCTACCTCCTTCAAGTGAATGAGACTGGAGGGTGAGATTTGTGGGGTCCATCCCATTAATTAAGGAAGACTTTTCTTCCTTATTGATTGTTTTCAAAGTTGGCTGCCATCATATCTTTTGCATTTGTCAAATTCGGTAGGCATAGCAGATCTGCGGTAGAAAATGTCAAATGTAGTAGGCGTGAGAGAGTGAGGCTCTGCCTATAAAAGGAGAGCTTCAGCTCTCATCTCGACACACCAATCTCAGAGGGAAAATATATGTGAGAGTTAGAAAGAAAGAGTGAGGTTTCACAGATAGGGTATAAGAAAATAGTCTGTGAGAAAAATAGAGAGTGTGTGATATTGTAGTGAGGTGGGAATATCAAAAGAGGGTTATTTCTTGTGAGTGTTGCAGTGGTCTTTTGAGTATTTTACTCGGACCTACAAAGTGTAAAATTTCTTGCTATAGTGATATCAGTTGCTCTTCTCAGGGTCGTGGTTTTTTCCCTTATTCAAAAGGGTTTTCCACGTAAAAATCTTGGTGTCATTGTTACTCTTTTATTCTTGTTAATTACCGTATCTCGGTGCTACGTTATTATTCCGCTTTTATTACCGTGAATATTATTTTGTAGGGGGTTTATTCCCAACAATGTGGAGGTCGAGACTTAGGGTTGAAGGTTGACAGGTAGTCGTGAGTTTCTCCTAGTCTTATCAGTAGTAGTAGTAGTAGTAGTAGTAGTAGTAGTAGTACTATTTTTATATTTTCTTATTCCTGGTTCTTTATTATTACGTGTCGTTTTATTCGCTTCCGTTATTCTATTACCTTGTTATTGCTATTATTTGTTCCTTTATTTTTACTGTTCGTTGAGCCGATGGTCTATCAGAAACAGTCTCTCTACCTTCATAATGTAGGGGTAAGGTCTGCGTACATATTACCCTCCCTAGACCCCACTTGTGGGATTATACTGGATTTTTTGTTGTTGTAGTTAACCTTCATCCGGATGGTCCGCTTTTTTATTGCAAATTTCCATAGCCATTTTCTGAACAATGCTCGATTAAAGATTTCCAACCTCTGAGATGTGCAATCCCCCAACTGCCACCAGTGGTAGATTGTGAATGCTGAGTCTCCCATTTACCAGTGGAAGCCAACATTAGTGAGGTTACTGCATTGAATACCGGTTTTACTAAAGCATCCTTGATGAAGACTAGCAATTTATATTTGCATCTGGAATTGGGATTTTAGTTATGTTAAAGCTCCTTGAATCGAACTTTATGTAGGTCTTACATGTATACAAACTTCCTGTTGTATCTTGTCTGATGAAACCAGCTTTATGGTTCTAATATTGCAAAGGAAAAAGGAAGGTAATTCAGGCGATGTAGCATCAGTATATGGGGTTTTACTCAGGTTATGAGTGATAAACATTGCAGCAAAATCTTTAATATGATAATCACGATAGAGAAATTGCAATGGTTTTTGTTAAGAGTTGTGTAATTTAATCGTGGCTTGTATTCCCCTCAAGGATCCTGGTGAAAGAGGATTGAAAATTTGAATGTTCTCTTCTTGAACAAACGTCTATCTTTTGATTTTTCTTCAATCTGTTTGCAGAAGAATGCAATGATTGGGGGTGCATTGACTGGAGCTCTCATATCTGCTGCAAGCAACAACAATCGCGACAAGATTGTGATGGATGCCATTACAGGAGGTGCTGTTGCAACTGCTGCTGAGTTTCTTAATTATCTCACATGAATTTCTTACCAACTACTTAGAACATTGCTAAGCATTTGCTCTGTTTCTCGAATTGTATCCATTTGAAATTACAAGCTTATGACATATGAATCTTATAATATTTGACTATGTTTAAGTGAATCTATAAATTAGCCATCTTTTTCAATCATTTGCTTTAAATATCGTCTATCAAGATGAATCAATTCATGTATTAACAATTTAATCAGAAGAGTTATAAATTGAAGCGTGAATGCATATTACTTGACCATGGCTAAGTCACTATGTGTTTATATAAGAAAAATATGGTTTACATTCATTTGTTTGTTATAAATATCAGGATCAACATGTTTTTTTCACATGAAAATGACACCGTATATCTATGCGTTACTGTGATTGACTTATAATGGAAGAGTACATTTGTCCGCAAGGACCACTAGGTTCTAGATATGGATTACTACCATCATGCACATATATATACCTTACGTGTAATTTATGTGGAATATGATGCGGATTGAGAATATGTATATTAACAACGATTTACGGATAAACATATCTAAAGAGAAAGGTGTCTTCTTGCAACTATGTATTATAACATACATATTATCCGTTGTTGGCAATTCATATGTTAATTATATAATTTACTATAGTATAACAATCTTCAGAAGATTATTCATCGCATAAATAATTCCTGCAACTGTAAATAAGAAAAATGATTATAGATGAGATAATAAAGTGGCTAGAGGAGTACCTGTTAGGATCGAAAAGTTCAGTCGTCATGCGGAAGCTAGTTAAACAAACCTTCAGCGACAATTAGATAACAAAAGAGACACAAACATATAACGTGATTCGGTCAACTGACCTACATCCACGACGGAGATGAGCAATCCACTATATAAAAGAGAGCACAAAATATCGAGAGAACAACCTCACGAAGAGGCAAACACAAGTGACACACTAACACTTGTCCCGTAAAGTTCTCCTCCTAAACACGTCTCTCAAATCCCATATGGCTACATCGTGGATGTTGCTAAATGAGAAGGACAGATCTTCAATTTATTGAACTCGAAACTTTTTCTTACAAGAAAAGGGATTATCCAAATATGGAAGAATTATATTTTCCTTCTAGGAAAAGAAAATCCCAATTATGGTAACTATATTGTCCTTTCCTTCATGAGATAGGAAAACCAATTATGGTAAGAAAATCTGGACAAACACCTAACAATTTTCCCTTTGGCCTTAATTTTCTGATAAAATAAACTTGACCCACCTTATTCACATAGCCTTCAACAGGTTGCATCTCCAAATCTCCACCACAAAGTTTGTCTCAACGTGCATAGCACACTGGTCAAATTTCAAAGACAAAAATCACGATTATTGTCAAATATGTTGCGGTTAGAACTGAACCTGCCAAAATGAACCTGTCTTGAACCTCGCTCTGATACCACTTGTTAGGACCGAAAAAATCAGGTATCATGCGAAAGCTAGTAAAGTAAACCCTCAACGACGATAAATCAGATAACAAAAAAGTAATCTACCAAAAGAGACACAAACATATAACGTGGTTCGGTCAACTGACCTACATCCACGGCGGAGATGAGCAATCCACTATATAAAAGAGAGTACAAAATATCGAGAGAACAATCTCATGAAGAGGCAAACACAAGTAACACACTAACACTTATCCCATAAAGTTCTCCCCCTAAACATGATTCTCAAGCCCCATATGGCTACATTGTGGATGCTACTAAATGAGAAAGACAAAGCTTCAATTTATAGAACTCCAAACATTTTCCTATAAGAAAAAGGACTAGCCAAATATGAGAGATTTGTAATTTCCTTCTATAAGAAGAAAAACCTAATAAGGTAAACATGTTTCCATTTCCTTTAATAAAAAGGAAAACCAAATATAATAAGAAAAATATGGCAAACACCTAACAGTACCTTTGTACAACGACAGAGAGTAGTGCTAGTGAGAAATGGCTGTTAGAATTTGCTAAAGTAAATAATTTAAACTCAAAGAAAGAAAATAAAAGAATATGGCAAGAATGAATAAGTGGCAAAAAGGAAAAGTGGAGTATTGACGAAAAGGAGGAACTTAAAAAGTAACAAAGGAAAAATAGAAATGAGAAATTACATAACAATCTCACTATATTTGGTTGTTCGAAAAAATAATTCTTTTCTTTTTTTAAATGACAATTGATCTAAAAATGCAAATAATAAATTAGATTATGATTTAATCAACAATTTTACAACCCGACCCCCACTCAAATAAAAATATTTTCAACAATCTATTAGTATAAAAGCTACTAACCTTCATGGAATAACTGAATCTCTTATAGAAATCTCGTGGGAAGCCTCCTTAGTTCGGGAACCCTAGCAGCAGAAATTGGAAAAAATGATAAAGGGGCTTTTGATTTTGTGGGGGAGAAACAAACGAGGGTAAGGGTTTAATAACTGGTAACTAAGTCTATGTGGCAAAAAAGATGTTGAATAATAAGTTTAATTATCTTTTAGTGGTCAGTCGTTTGGGTAAAAGGTATTTGTGCTTCAGTTGAGTAACGACAAGGGTATGAAGAGGCCCAACTTTTAACGAAGGGTATATTTGCTCCTGGTCGTGAAGTTTAGGGGTATTTTTGAACCATTTACGTTTCTTATATTGAATTAGCTAAATACAATTAAAGTATATCATTTTCAAGTTATTTTGTAAATCAAATATATTTATGAATATTCTTAGGTCTTTTTTGAAATTTTATTCTCATTGACACAGAATACACGCGCAACGCATGTGTCCAAATATTAGTAAGAAGATAAAATGTCTTGGAAGCACTTTCATATTGGAATAAAATATGCAGTACTAGTATTTATATGTGAGAAGTCGTTTTCTGAGCATGATATTCAGCAGTAGGAATATTTGAGATTATTGTGATGACCCCCATGTCATCATGCCACGTAGACACCATTTGACATATATTTAGTGCCACATGGAGCTTACATCAGAGGAAATCTAGCATTTGTGAGAAAATTCTAGAAAAGTATATGAACATTTCCTTTGAAAGACCCTAGATCCCTATGGATTTACTAGGAAATTCCTTAAAATCTTCTAGGCTTGTTGAGAATTCTAGAGAAAACTCTTATCTTGTAAATATTAAGGACTTAATTAATATTTATACACTATCCCCTAGGAGAGTAGTATATAAATGGGGTCATTCATTTGTAATTCATCAAACAAACAATTCAAGTTCTCTCTAATACAAAGCTTCTTTAGCAATTCTCTTGTGTTCTTTATATCATTCCTTTAGAAATTCTTAATATCTTGGGCTGACTTGGCATAGCAAGATCGTGAGCAATTTGTGCAAGAACGTGAGAAATTGTCAAGTGCCACATGTGCGGTTAGTTTTAAGACTAAAAACGTGACAACGTGGTATCATAGCCAGATTGCAACTAAGGGAATAGTGAACGACAGAGAAATTAACACTGCCAATACCCAAGCCTACGTCATCCAGGATGTTGCTAGCAAGAAGGGTTGTAACAAAAAGAGGATGTCACCAATAAGAGCCAGGAGGTGCCGCCTGAGGTTGTGTCAAACGAATGGTTTACATCTCAAAAACCATCTACCACTGAGGCAAGCAAGGATGAAGTGGAAGTCCTGCCCGAGAATGTCTCGCTCGGTACCGAGTAGGTTATGAAGGTGAACACGGGAATAGATGCCGTGGAGATTTTTGGCCAAAGGGAAAGGTGGAAGGCACCCTTAACGTTCTTGAGGGGCACAATTTTAATAAGTTTGAGAGTATCTAAAATGACTTGGAGGGACGTACACAGACTGAGGTGGAACTAAGACAAACCATCACTGCCTTGGAGTGCAGACTCATGGATGCTTTGAGTAATATCGATGCTATGAAGGCAAATATAGAGTCACTCGAGAGGCTTATCGATGCTGGCATAACTGAGGCAGGAAACAATGTTGTGGTTACGAGGGAGTCCAAGATCGAGGCTCTCAAAACCCGGGTGTTCAAAGGTGTTCGTGATGCACAAGAAGTGGAGAACTTCCTATAACGACCCGGCCAATCGTTTTGAATATTTTCATCCCGTTAAGCTATTTGAAGTCTTGAGTAGCATCTTTCTATGTATTATGACTCGTGTGAATCGTCGGTTTTGGTTTGCAGGTTCTTCGAAATTGATTTGGTATAAGGATTCTCAACTAGGAAGCTTTGAATTGAAAGAATTGACCAAGTTTGACTTTTTAGTATTTGACCCCGGATTGGGGTTTTGATAGTTCTGTTAGATCCGTTGGGTATTTTGGATTTAGGAGCGCATCTGGATTGTGATTTGTAGGTCCGTAGTTGAATTTGACTTGAAATGGTAAAAGTTGGATTTTTAAAAAGTTTATCCGGGAGTGGACTTTTTGTTATGGGATTTGGATTGTGGTTCCGGGAATGGGAATAGCTTCTTTTTGTCATTTAGGACTTGTTTGCAGAATTTGGATTCATTCCGGATTGATTTGCTATGTTTCGGCACAAATTATTGAAGTTGAAAAGTTCAAAGTTCAACAAGTTTGAATTTAGGTGTGATTCGTCATTTCGATATTGTTATGTGTGTTTTGAGGCCTCGAGTAGGTCCGTGTTATGTTATGGGACTTGTTGGTATACTCGGACGGGGTTCCGAGGGGCTCGGGCGTGTATTGGATTAATTTCGGATTATTTTTCTTCATGTTTTAATTGCTGAGGAGCTGCTGGTTCTGGTGTGACAGCACCTGCAACTGGTTTTGTGCAGGTGCGATGGTCGCAGAAGCGACAAAGCAGTCGCAGAAGCGAGGGATAGCTGGCTGGAGAGTCTTCGCAAAAGTGGTACTTCAGACGCTGAAGCGTGATCGTTGATGCGACCATAGCCATCACAGAAGCGGCCTGTCTCGCAAATGCGAGCCTTTTTCCCGCAAAAGCGAAGGTCGCAGATGCGACCTCTTGTCCGCAAATGCAGAATCGCTGGGCAGAAGGTATATTATTGAGGGTTTTGGTTCTTTCTTCATTTTGGGAGCTATAGAGCTCGGATTGAGGCGATTCTTGAAGAAATTTTTACTATGTGGATGGGGGAAAGTGTTCTATACTCATTTTTGATTTTATATCATGAATCTAGGGGTGTTAACGGTTCGGTTTGGTCGGTTTTTGATTA